GTTGTTGTTGTTTATTTGATTGTTGTTGTTGTTTTTCTGGTTGTTGTTGTTGTTGTAATTGTTTGTGAGAGTGTGGTAATTGTTGGTTATCATTGTTAATTGTGTTGTTGTCCAAGTCCATAGCATTAGGGTTACTAATACTACCTGACGGTGATGTTGTAAAGGTAAGTTCAGTTACTAGTGGGTTATAGGAACTGATTGTTTGTTGGAGTTTTTGAATAAATGTAGAAGATGAACTTGATGATTGAATAGGTTGTTAAATATTTGTACATGTTTTGTGGTGAGGTTTATCATTGTATAAAATTGCATCTGCTGCCAGATAATGTTGATTATTCATTTCTTTATAGGCAATAAACAAGTTGCATTTTCCACATAGGTGATTGTGTGTAGTAGGTGAGGATGATGCTGTTGGTGATAGTAGAATAAATTTAGTAGAATTTGCGATATTGTTTGCTAAAGATTTTTTATCCTTGGATTTTTTTGTTAGTAGAAATAACTTTGTGTTGTTTATAAATTTGGTTGGTAGTTGAGATAAAGTAGATGTGAAACTTGTCACAAAAGCAAGTAATGATAGAACTAGATTCAGGTGCTTTAAAGTAATAACAACTTTTAGTCCCTTCTCTAAGTTCTGTAGTTGTACAATTATTTGGTTGCTTGTTTACAAGGATGGGGTGTAATGTATTAGCTGCATCTTCAAGAATACCAATACCAAAACTTAGGACTCTTTTAGTAAAAATAGTCAAGATCGATAGTATCAGGTGCAACTATTGTTAAAGTTGGCATTTTTTTCTAAAAATAGGTTTCTAAGTATGTTTTTCGAAAAAAAATTTTAATTTAAAGGTTTCTAGACTAATTAGGGAAATTTGGAAAAAAGTTTAAGCTTCAGATAAGCTGATTGGGTGTTTAGAAAATTCTAATAGGTACCAGAAAAGTGAAATTTTCGGAGCACCCCTGCAAATTTTCCTAAAATTGCCAATGAAAAAACCTGCAAAGGACAAGTTTTTGTTTTTGCTTTTTGCTTGTATCTCTATAAGGTTTGGTTTGTTTTGAACAAAATATATATCAAAATGTCCGGCTCAGTGAGCTGAACAACTTTTGAATAAGCTGCATAATAGATTTAATTAGTAAAATATTGAGTTAATAGACAAAAACCAAAAATATAGTTTTTATGACTTTTCCCAGCAACTAAGTGTTATCAGAACTTGAAACACAACCGCCTGAGAGTAAAAAAGTGTGCTGAACAATGTTACTTAAGAGGTCAAGTAAGGTTTATATAGTAAAATATTTAGAAATAATTAAATATTTTTTTGTGTTTTTTGGTATAAGTAATCTACAGAAAGAGTTACTTATCAAACATACTTCTTATTGTCTAAGCTGATCTGTAAATAATACAATATATCTAATTGTAGAGTAACTGACTTACTGTTTGACTTTGCTAATATCTTAACTCAGATACTTTTTTAATTTTTACAAAAGTTATATAACTTTTTTATAATTATTAAATTTGTGTCAAGATAAGATTGACCTTTGTATTAAAACATTCATTTTTGATACTTCTGAATATACTTTTTTTATACACCTAAACATACTTTAAAATTTCTATACTTTTACTAAATTTTACTATAATAATACACAATATTATTGATTATTTTAGGTTATGTTTAGATGAATTAAAAAAATAGATGTAGATGTATTAACAATGAATGTTTTGTGTCTTTGTAATGTCTGCATCATATGAAATGTTCAAAATTGAGACTTTTAGTAAAACTTTCAGTAGGACTTTCAGGTTTGTATTTTCAGCAAGCTGAATTTACCAAAAATATTTTAACATGTTCAAAATAATTTTGAAACCATTCTTAAACTTAATTTGGATATAATCAGTTTTAATTTAACAAAATCCAATTTTTTTAAACTTAATTAAATAGATCCTATTTAATAAATTAGTTGATATTTAATTAATTTAAAATATTAACAATAGATTTTTAGCAACATGTTAAAATGGAATATAATATGTAGATTATGAATATAGATATACAGTTATGTATACCATTGTACAAAGTAAAGCTTAAAAGGTCAACCAGCTCATAAAATTTATTAAATATATTAAAAGAAGTTAATTATTAATTATTGCACAGTAAGTATATTACTTTATTTAATTTGCAGTTACGTGTTTAATAAGTTTACAGATTATATACAATTAAAGAGTAAACTTATAGTAATGCTGTAACAAATGAATATATGTTAGTATTTGATGAATTGGTTATAAAAGAAAGAAATATAATAAAAATGTGCAGTTTGCATTAAAAATAAGGATATTAGTGATTATTTTAAAGAAATTCAACATAAAATTACATTTTTTGAAGATGTAATTGACTAGATTCCTTTTAGTAGGTTAGATATATTCAAAAAACTGCTATAGATTTTTAAAAACCTGGTCAGATGTAATATATATAAGTTTTTATTAGTTTTTAAATATGAATCTAAATTATGTTATTTATGATGCAATAAAACTTTCCTTTTTCATAAAAGTCATTTATGATGATCAACAAGACATCTATAAAAATGCAATAAAATTTTCCTTTTTCATAAAAGTCATTTTTACACTAAAATATCTATTTAAGGGCGTTGTCATCTTTAAGAAGAAATTTTATTCAATGTAATGTTATTATATAAATTAGATCAATGTAATATCACAAAATCTTCACTATTAATAATGATCTAATCAAACAGTTGAAAATAGTAATTTCAGAAGAGTAGAAATTTTGGCTAAGCAGAAATGTCGGGAAAGTGAAAATGTAGGGAAGCTGGTAATGTCGGGGAAGTGAAATGTTGGGAAAGTGGAAATGTCAGGAAAGTAGTTTATGTCAGGGTAGTGATAATGTCAAGAAAGTGGAAATGTCGAATGTCGTGGAAGTGGGAAGTAGTTTATGGTTGTCGGAAATATATTTTCGGGAAAGTGGTTCATGTCGGAAAAGTGGCTGTCGAAAAAATGTTGTCTGGGAAGTATGTCGGGAAAAAATTTATGTCAGAAAAGTGTCGTTGTGAAAATATTTTTCGGGTAAATAGGCGTCGGGGAAATCGTTCTCGGGAAAATGTTAGGGAACAAATATATTTATTCTGTTAACTACTTCATATAACTTATATTTTAACGAATATAATGCTAAAATTATTTATGGAAACCGAAATTTATTTTAATATCGGCTTTTAAAATGACCTAGAATTTTTAATTCTAGTTTAGATTTTTAATGTCGGAAGTTTATTGTCTGATTTTATCTTGTCGGAATTTTATCCTGTCGGGATTATGTATGTTGGTAGATCAAATCGAACATGTGATTAATAAAGTCATCTATCACATAAAATCATACTGATTTCGCAATAATGATCGCCTTCTCATTGAACAAATTATTCTAATTCCGATTATATTAGAATTGATTCGGTAGTTTGTGAGTTATTGGCATCTTTTCCTTCGTAACCATATGATTTTTACATATTATAACTTTCGACATTCTAATATTATTTGAAAGTGATAGTAATTCTTCGTTAATTTTTTACTATAATTTGTATCCTCAAACTTAATTATAATATTCAAGCTAATAAAAGGTATTTATATAATAATTGTCAGTAAATTTTAAAAAAATCTTTATAAATAAATGATATAATTCATACGCTCTAAATATCCAATATATTATTTAATCTTATTATTTATAGATAGTCTTGGAAAATAAATTGTTATCAATTTTATCAATAAGATCTCTGTAATTGGTATAAGCTATTGACTAACCCTAAAATTTTCTATCACTGAAATTACTTCTCTCATATATTGATAAGTTTAGAAGTATACATCATATTATCATGCTTTTGTGAGATAATTGGCAATTCTTTGATTGATTTTTCAGCTTCTAAAAATTGCCGTTTGATCTCTTTATTCGAATCGATACATCGGTTGTTTGATTTTGTATTACTATTCTTGACAACCATATGCTTTTTCCATTTTTTAAATTTATTAAAAATCCAAACAGCCATAGATCTTCTTTTTACATCCAAATCAATAGTTTGTTTGGCTAATTTAACATTACCATCATTGGAGACTATAATCTTTTTCCATTTTTCAAGATGACTAATAACCTCAACAACCGTAGGCCTTTTTTTCATATATGAATTAATACATTGTTTGGCTAATTTAACATAACATTTTGGTGTCCTTATAATAAATTCAGGTCGTAATCCGTGACAAATCATCGCCGCTAATTCAGCATCAAAATTGTAACCATCGAAAGGTCCTCGACCAGTTAATATTTCTATCATAATGATTCCAAAACTGTAAATATCAGCAGCTTGGGTGAAATGTTCTCCTTTCAAGACCTCAGGTGCTAAAGATGGTAAAACGCCATAAATATTACCATCCTGTTTTTCATCGAACGATATTGATGAACCTAAATCAATATAAGTTTCATATTGTTCTTTTAGTAAAATATTACCGGAATGTAAGTTTCGATGTATAAAGTTTTTAGAATGAATATTTGATAGATCATTAACAATATCGCATAATATTTTTAATTTAATTTTCCACCGTAATTTAAATACATCTTCAAGATTTTCACGTAATGATCCCAAACTTGCATAATTTAACACTAAAATAAGATACCCTGTATTTTTATCCATTGATATACCATAGTATTTTCCAAATTCGTGATACGCCTTTAACTAAAAAATAGAAAAATTGTACAATTAATTCGTAGCAATATAAATTTACGCGTAAAAAAAAAATAATACCTCATTTATAAAATGTTTCCTATTTGTGGCGAATCTTTTATTACCTTGATTGCAACTACATATGTTTTATATGACGTTTTATACACTACTAAAGATCCCCCTTTACCTACTTCTTCAATATTTTTAAAAGATCGTAATTTATCCACCGAAAATACCTATTATATTTACATTCACGTTCAGTAACCGAAGATTTTAAATACCATTCAAAAGCCAAATCTTTATTCTTTTCTACACCAATTCCTTTTTGATAGCACATACCAACACCATGCATGCCACAGCAATACCCATATTCAGCACTTTTTAAATAATGTTCAAACGCCTTTTGCTCATCCTTTTCAACTCCAATTCCATATTGATAACAATATCCAACATTATGTATACCGACAAGGTTACCCATCTCTGCAGATTTTTGATAATAAATGAATGCTATACGTTTATTCTTTATAACACCAATTCCTTCATCATAACAATATCCAATACGATTTATTCCACTAGCGTCCCCCATCTCTGCAGACTTTTGATAATTAATAAATGCCATATGTTCATTCTTTTTAACTCCCAACCCTATTCTATAACAATTTCCAAGATCGCACATTCCACCAGCGTCCCCCATCTCCGCAGATTTTTGATAATGAATGAATGCCTTATGCTTATCCTTTTCGACCCATTTTCCATATCGATAACAAGTTGCAAGAATGAACTGAACCATAGGATCTAATTGATTATCTAAACAATATTTGATAATATTATCCGGATTTTGCTTCCTTTTTACTAGAATTTGTTCTAAAACACCAAAAATCGAACCGTCCCTTTTGCCTTTTAAAATTCCTTCAATATACAGATTATACATTTCTTTAATAATTTCATTAAGACATTCCTGTGACTTATCTCCTAAATACAATTGATTAATTTTGTTAGATATATTAACATAATCTAATGGATTGTCGGTTTTTTCTAGTCGTTTTGCAATTGACATTTTGATGCGATAAAGATATGTTACATGAGTTACACGAGAAATACTTATCAAATTTATTGAATATTTATGCATTACGTTACGTAACGTTCATTTATGTCTTTCGATGCGATTATCATATGTGCATCGTTACATTTTTTTACGAATTGGTTTGCAAATTAGTGCGACAAATTATTGGTTTGAATCCTATAAATTCTATATATTGCCATTATTTTAACAATTATGATATGCAGGATTCATAAAAGTTCAAAAAAATTATTTGTCGCAATTCTGTAAATCACCATTGTTAATATGCATAACTCATAGGATTTAAAACAATCATTTGTGCACTAATTTGCAAAGAGCGATAAAGGCTTTTAAATAGATAAATTATTGTTTGTGTTTTTATTTTAGAGAATTTTCTAACAGTTGTCCATTTGATTGCTTTGAAGATTCCAATCTTTATGCTTTAAATTATTATTGTTTCTGTAAATAAAGTCGATTCCGGATATGACAAAGCTCTATATAGCGAACTCTGGATATAACGTACTCAAAATTAAAAAATTTTTACGATGGTTCGGTATAGAAAGTGCAATAGGTCCTTAGTAATTTCTATAAAAGTTGATTTTAGTGATGGGCAACGCGCAGAATCCCGTGTGGATTTTTAATGAGATTATTTGGCCTGCATTAGCATATCATCTGGCCTGCATTAATATAAGTGGACCAATTTCTAATTAGTAATTGATATACATAAAAAAATATGCACGCATTTCTATGTAGAACTTTTTATTTGTATTTCTGTTGTGCAGCTTTCTTAAATGACAATCTGGACAAAAAACAAATTAATTTAACCTAGACGTTAGGGCTATATCTGCCAATTTTTATTTGGGCTGTCCCAATTACAATCGGGATTAGATTGTTATTTGGGGTACAACATTTCCAATGATGTCTTATTTGTGAAAAATTAATGAACTCTATACTATCCAGTATTGTGAAATTATTCCCTTAGTTCCTATTGGACGAAGAAAAATCATGTTTTTCGATCAAATAATGGAAGTATCTTTGAAACCTTATAAAGGTTTAATCAAACATATACTATACTAAGGATGGCTCCGAAATTACTTTGAGCGCGCTGAAATACTTTCGGTAAATTCGACTTGCCAAAGTACAAAACCGAAAGTCGTACCGAAAGTGAAAGTCCTACCGAAAGTAGAAAATCCTACCGAAGTCTCAATTTTCGAACATATTACGTGACGCAGACTTCGACAAAGGCCATTCATATCTCGACACAGATACTTTTTTTGAGATACGACGATTTTAAAAAAGTCACATGACCTTTTAAAATCAAAAAGTATCGAAAAGGGAAAAGCTACGGGCACAACAGGATTGACCAATAAGAACCCAAAAAATTTTACTGTGATTTTTAACCAATCAGCATTGTGTAGATCAATTATCTAATTTACTATTAACACGTCATGTAAATTGATTGTCTACAAACGCGTAATAAGTAGCTGCGCGACGTTGTCACGCAAAACCAGGAACGGAAGATGGATTTTCAGATCGAGTTGCAGACGAAAC